TATTTATGTGATGCGGAGTACGGCGTTTAAATCAAGAGTGTATGTTGCTGCGTACTCGATACTCGTTCGATGGATATTCGAGATAAAATATTCTGTCAAGATTGCACTTCTGATTAAGAAATCCATTTGATTTCTTAATCAGAAGTGCAATCTTGAAAAATTATATGACAACCTCGCATATTTTAGAAAAAGCCAATTCACGAAATCTTTCTCCTCTCCTAAAGAAAATTTATCTTAAATATAAATCACACTAGTCAGAAATTAAGCAATTATTTTTATTTAATTTTTATTTAATTTGCGCGAATAAACTTCTTTCATTCAATTTAATATTAAAATTTCTTATTAATAGAATTTAAAATTTCTTATTAATAGAATTTAAAATTCTTATTAATAGAATTTTTCATTACTTTTACTTGCTTTTTTTTATCTATTATCTTTGTTTATCTTTATTTCTTCATTTACACGTATAAATTAATGATATATATAAATTAATAAATTAATGATAAAAGGAGAGAGAACATAAAACCAATCGCTGTTTTTCTAACAGATATAAGTAGATGTATTTCCAGCTTACTCTTTCTTTAGAAAAGAGAAAGAAAGAGGGAAATATATTTTCCTTTTCGAGAAATTGTATAGCAGCAATGTCTCGCTTTGTGCGACATCTCGACGGAGCGACACTTTCATGAAAATTTTACTCCGAGCGAGCGCGTCTTAAGAAACGCTCACTTAAATCGAGAGATCGAGCACGTACAACCAGACTATCGCTTATTTTCTGACACTTTATCCGCGCGCTAAGACTCCGGTAAAGCAAGAAACGTACGTAGAACATATTTACAACGAACGCTCGCTTAATACACATTCGTCCCGATCGCTGCATTTTCGATCCGGCGCGAAAACGCGCAAACGGGGATGGAATTTCAGATGTGTTCCTTCCTCCTCCCCTTCCCCATCACGATCAATCTTTATATTTAACCCTTTTCCATGTACATACACCAAGCATAATTAGAATAGAATATAAAATAAAGAAAAACTAAGAACCGCAGACCGAGTCCTAGACTTGGTGATTTATAGACGAAGCTGATGATTAGATATTAAACGAGAGCTATAGATTAGTTCAAAGAGAAGAAAAATGAGAGAGCAAAAAGATGTAATTAATATAATAGTTGGTGGAAATTTTCTTAAAAATAATTATTTGTTCCCGTCGCAATAGTGATTGATCAGATG